GTTTATACTCATACTACTGTTTACATTTGCACTACTGTTTATACTCACACTGCTGCTTATATTACACTACCGCTGATATACAAATATATTTTTTGACTAATCTTATTGCATATGTCACTTTACCTACACCAATATCAAGGACTTCATACGTACACTGTGTACATTCACTTCATATGCTGCTTTGCCACTCACTACAAATATCACTGTCAGGACCTTCATTTCATTTTATTCTATAGATATACTTTTAAAAAATATTTTTATACTGTATAGTACAATTTAAGACAGTATCATGCTTTTATTATTTCATTTTATGCTTATGTTTAATAAATGTTTTAATGTTAAATGGTTATTGTTGCACTGGGGTCTGAGAGAAATGTAATTTCAATCCTGTGTATGTCCTGTACATATTGCAGCTTTTGATAAAGTGACTTTGACTTTGACTTTGAAAGTGCTTTACAGAAATACAAACTACAGGCTTAATATAAAACAAAAACAATAACAGCTGATTAATAAAAACAGTAAGAACAGAAACAGTAAATAAAACATTTAACTAAAAACTTGTCTAAATAAAAGTGTCTTAAGCTGCTTTGCTAAAGCAAAGGTAACATGGCTTCCAACCCACACAGTAGCAAAACATTGGCATTACACACACATAAAGATACGTTTGTTCACTATTAACATCATTTCAGTATGCATGCATATCTTTGTTTAGTCTTTTGCTGCATCTGTTTAGTTCATTTTATTCTAGTTTTTTAAACTATGCAAGATATGAAAAAAGGTTTGTAAGCTCAATCATTCAGGTACATAAATCACAAAAAAAGTTAATTCATGTCATCTGGACAGATTGTTTTTTGGAAGAAACATTTTGTTTTTCATCTGAAAGACTTCATCAGTCTATAAATAGCTATTTATATGACAGACCTTGGTTGCACACCTCAAACTGATGAAGTCTTTCGGATGAAAGACGAAACATTTCTTCCAGAAAATAATAAATAAATCTGAAACCTGAACGGAGAGCCAAAAGAGGAAATGAAACATATCACAAATACTCACACCCAAATTCATACCCATACTTACACTTATGTATACGTATGGGTATACATACCATACATATACATACCATACATATACATACCATACATATACATACCATACATATACATACCATACATATACATACCATACATAGATGTTTGTTTCTTCTATCAACTTATTGTTTTTCTTCCCTTGATTAAAAACAAGGCTAAAAGTAAAGCGAGCATTTCTCCTGTATAAACTGATACTCCATCACTAACCCTTTTTCCTACTTTAATATGAAATTGTGATACTATGAATGCTATCCCAGTTTTATTAGTTGTATTTTTAGATGCGTCTGTGTATATATGTACATAATTATAATACTGATTAATGTATTCCTGTACTGTATATTTATCCATAGTAAAAGATTTATTCTTGTTTTTCTTTTCTAATAATGAAAAATCTACTATAGCATCAGGGAGTACCCAAGGTGGTGTTGTTGGTAATGGAACTTTCTGACATATATTTAGTTGATCTAAATGGATTTCATTAACTTTGACTTTTATTATCCACCCAAAGCTTTTTATTTTTTCCTTTTCCCAACCTGATTTAAGCACCTCTAATGTTTGATGATCATTTCTTTGTCCTTGTAAATTTGTCCAGTAGTTTAAAGACAGCTCTTCCCTTCTAAATTTAAGAGGCATTTCTCCCATTTCAACCTGTAATGCTGCTGTTGAAGACGTTTTAAAAGCACCGGTACATATTCTTAGTGCCTGGTATTGGATATTATTTAACTTATTGAGGTTTGTATCTGCTGCTGAATTGTAACGTATGCACCCATAGTCCAAGACTGACCTAATTAATCCAGTATAAATGGCTGTCATTGAATTTCTATCAGCTCCCCACTCATTTCCAGCTAAACACCTCATTATATTTAACACTTTCCTACATTTATCTATTATTTTCTTAATGTCATTCTTTCATCAAACCACAACCCGAGAAATTTAAATTCTTTAACTCTTTCCAACTCCTGACCGTATAATTTTAGCTTGATTTTCTCATCAACTCTTTTCCTTGTAAAGAACATTATTTTAGTTTTGTCTACAGAAAATGTAATTCCTCATTTATATGACCATTTTCTGCAACTGAAATTGCTCCCTGGGGCTTCTTTATAATAAATTCTAGATTTCTTCCTCTTTTCCACATTGCCCCATCATCAGCAAAAAGTGAAAATCCCATTCCACTCTCCACTTCCTTAAACATATCATTAACTATCACTGAAAATAATAACGGACTGACTATACTACCCTGTGGGCATTTTGCAGCTACTTCAGAGCCAGCCTTTTAAAGTTTAAGGTTTGTTAGCTGCTACACTCGACCATTACTGCCCTCTGCTGTTTGTCACACCCACCTAGGCTTTCAGGCCTTCAGCTGACTTTTTAATTTGAAAGAGTAAGACAAGCGCAGGTGTGTTAATGGGAGCCACTGCACCTGTTCAAACTGATGGTCATTTCTGATACACCTGCTCTATTTTGTTCTGTGTCAGTTATCAATTAAAAAAATGTTGAACATGAGAGGCACGCATCCCACAAAGTCTCTAGACATGAATTTTACACACAGCCATACATACATTTGCATCTGCATACTCTTATCAACAGTTTTAATACCAAAATCTAAATGAATATATTTTTATAGTCAGGATCTGTTAATGTATCCCATCCATTTGTGAATTTATACTCCAGCGTTCCACGCTGAGTAAGATTTAAAGCACTTCCTCCTCTCAGGTCTGTAAACAAAAAGAGCTCATTTTATCTCTTTAGTCCTTCTTCACTCACATTTTCCTTAGAGACAGCCCACTCCTAACACTCACGGTGTTTGAGTCACAGGAAAGTTTCTATTCTTTATATATTTTTTTCAACCGAATTGGATGGTTTTGAAACAACTTCACAGGATGTTTGATGAATTCTGTGAAGCGTGTCAAAAATCTTTCTGCTTGTTTTGCATCTTCATCACAGTTTTCAGTGTTCAGTCTTCAGTTTTCATATTATTGGCAGACTCACTCTTTTAAACAATTTAACTTGGGAGGAATTATTAATAATTCTACTGTCTCTCAAACTATTTAACAGACCCCTTCTTATGATGGATGGATGGATGGATGGATGGATGGATGGATGGATAGATAGATAGATAGATAGATAGATAGATAGATAGATAGATAGATAGATAGATAGATAGATAGATAGATAGATAGAAATATTTGCATAGATAGATAGATAGATAGATAGATAGATAGATAGATAGATAGATA